CCACATGGCACTGTTCTCCTGAGCTGGCTTTCTTTGGAAAGCATCCCTTTTTTGACTAGGTGTGATTCCAACTTACACACTTAACAAAACAGAACGTCAGATGAGTTCCCATTGCCTTCCAGCCTGCAGAGCCTGCAGGAGCACAGCTCTGCCCTGGAGGTCTGCAGAGCTGTAAATCTAACGTGAGTGCACAGACTTCCTCTATGCTTAGCTTCAGAATAAATGCTATTGGGGAAAGGTAAAAGCCATGCAACCATCTGGCTAGCCATTATCTGTGATGTACCAGCTCTCTGTCTATATAAGCAGGTTTCAGTTAGCAGACTTCCATGTGTCTTGTGCTGATATATTTACACGCATGTATTAGTGAATCTTTTTCTTTTTTTCTTTTTTTTATAAAAGCAGTAAAGCCCCATTGCCAACAGCACAATGTGTAGCATCTACTTTGTAATCCATAAAATACTTGCTGACATGGCCTGGAAGACAGAATGCTGCTTCTGTTGGAAGTCAGAAAAATGCCACAGACTTTTCCTGAGAGTAATCTTCAGAGCCTGGGAATAATATGTCAAAACACAAGCAGAGATAGAGACAAAATGGAAATAAATAAAAAGAAATTGACTGCTTAGCTCAGCTGTCCTTACTGGGCAGGATGCGAATGCTGTCAATAACTTAGGAGAAAAAGAAAGGAAAAGGGCTGCCTTTTTAGGCCACAGTGATTCTCATTTTGTGTCGCACATCCCTCAGGATTAGAGTAGATGACAATATGTTTCAATCAGAAATTGGAAATGGCACTTCCTTAAATTGTCTCAGCTCTGCAGGCATTCCAGTCTCTGCCCTGGCCGGGCTGCCTGGCAATGAAGGACGTGGGCCAGGTGGAGTCTGAGCTGAACTGCTCATCTTCATCATCATGATGTCCCCGCTCATTGCAGGGGAGTTGGGCTAGATGGCCTTCAGAGCTCCCTTCCAGCTCCTGTGACTCTATAAGCATGTGCTGGCTGGTATTTATCCGGTATATGAGAAGCAGAATGGTACGTTTTCTCCTGAACAAATCTTGCTGTATACACCGCAGTACAATCCACACTGTGAAGGGCAGCTGTCCAGTTAAAAACAAACCAGCATCCTTGCTGCCACGTCTCTTGATAGCTGGGGAGCCTTCGTTTTCCATTCTGTAATCCTTAAGACTTGAAAGTACTTAGGCTAAAAAATTCATTAAACTTTAATATAAAGCCAGTTTTAACTTCAGACTGTTTGCTTCCCAAAGATAATTGTTTGGGAGAATGAAGTGTGCTCCCCATGCAGCTTTTCTGTATATTTTTCACAAACTAATACTGGAATTATGAAAGATAGGGATAAGTACAGCAAAGTAAATTAAATCAAAATGCTGAAGCCTTGGGGAAGAGCTAATGCAAATGAATTGAACAACATACAAGCTCCAAACAGCGACAGAATAAGTTTCCTTCTGAGCATCGTTATTGTTGGGCCATGCAAAGTCACCATCTTATAAAACCAGAAAAACCATAAATATAAACTGTTAGCACAGGCTACTGTCATATATTGTAGTTTTTACCATTCCATTCCTTTTCCATTAAAGTTATTACCTGTAAAAATGTACCTCTGAAATGAATAAACAAAGTTAATTTTCTTTTTCTGTCACTGGGTGTCATCTGTTCTGGAATAGATGGAGAGTCTGTATTTTAAAGACTGTTTTGACCTTAAAGGCAGGGGAAACTTTGTTTAAAAGCTTTTTATAAGGGTAAAGTATCTTATGAGTAAATAAACCAGGAGAAAGAGAGGGAGAGAGCTGAATGCCAATATGATGAAAGTCATTAGAGCAGAGCTGCCGCAGACAGGAGAACAGAATAATTGTTCATTGAATAAGGTGCATCCAGTAGCATAAGAAGCAAAAGGAGATGGCCTTATGAAGAGTTGTGGGCAAATCTCGAATGTTTAAGTTCCAAAAGCAAAAGGAGAAAATGATAGCAAAATCATCCATTGCAGTGTATTTCACACATCACACGCATGCAGTTCCTGCCTCCAACTCTCCAGTGCCTTCTGTGAGCTTCTCCCTGGCCCCACCAGGCTCAGCTGGGGATGCTTTGGCAGGAGGAGGCCTTTGGTCAGAGATTGTGACTAAAGAATGGAGAGAGAAGAATTTGGAGGAGAGAAGGCTGCAGGGAGACCTCATTGTGGCCTTCCAGTGCTTGAAGGGAGAGTATAAACAGGAGGGGGAACGGCTGTTTGTGGGTATGGATAGTGATAGGACAAGGGGGAATGGTTTTAAAGTGAGACAGGGGAGGTTTAGGTTGGATATGAGGAGGACGTTTTTCAGCCAGAGGGTGGTGAGGCACTGGAACAGGTTGCCCAAGGAGGCTGTGGATGCCCCATCCCTGCAGGCATTCAAGGCCAGGCTGGATGTGGCTCTGGGCAGCCTGGGCTGCTGGTTGGCGACCTGCACATAGCAGGGGGTTGGAACTGGATGAGCATTGTGCTCCTTTGCAACCCAGGCCATTTTAGGATTCTTCCACCACTTTTATGCTGCACGTTTTTTTTTATAGCCTAATTTGTGTCTGGCTTGAAGTTGGTAAAAATTGTACCTATTTTGATGAGAATATTATGGTGTTGGCTATGAGTATAAAGTTAATAGGTCTGAAGAGATGATGGATTTTGAAATCAGTATCATTAGTGCTAATTGGGAAGAAAACTTGGAGTCTCCATGAGGAGAAATGGCTGGGCAATTGTAAATATTAGCAAATTTGAATAGCAATCTCTCTGAGATCCGTAATGTATCAAGATTTAAAAGATGTCTGGAAGATATCTGGAGAAATTGTAAGGCAGGTCAGTTAGAGGAAAATACAAGGAAAGCTGTGAAAGGCAGATGAGGCTTGAGTAGCCGAATAGCTCTCCCTTACAAGGAATTTGAGAACTGTCACATCTTCTGCTTCTAAAGTAGCTCTTATCTTTAAGCCAACAATTCCCTGCAAAGCTACTTCTGTGGGAGACTATTAGAGAAGCTGGATAAGGTGCAGGAATTGTATAGTAAGGACAGATGAAGATACTGTTGGGTCGTGCTGAAATGGCAGGTATCAGGCTGGAGAGAGAGAGTAATGGCATTTCTGACAAACTGATCTTCTTTCGCATTCTTCATTCTCTACCTGGACACAAAGAATAGTCACTCTCCGATGAAATTTTCTGATGACACAAAATTGGGGGATATTATCAATGGATAGAAGGCTTGCAGTACTGAAGATTTGCAGTTTGTGGGCTTCTATATGCTGCTGTCTATATCTGTAATGCAGCCCATGTACCAGGTAAGCTTCTCTCCTGAATATTATACACAGCCACATGATATTTGATGTACGAAGACTAGTCAGGTCAGGCTGGCGTTGATGAGATTGTGAATTGGTGGTTTCCACATCACTGTCTTCTTCATTGGTCTGTGGAGTCTCAATCGGGGTAATTGCCATCAGAGAGGTTAATCTGCCACTTCTTCACCACGTGCCATCAGGCCCTGTCTGCTGGCTGATGTCACCTCTTCTGCCTCTCTGCTTGCTCTGCTCCCAAATCTTGGTAGTCCCCTCACACTCATTCCATATGCAGCTTTAGGTGATGTCACAAGATCAGTGATGATTGCTGTGATGAGCTACAAACCTATAAGCAATGCTGTCTGAAATGGCAGTCTCCAAAGTTCAGCTTAATTTCTGTGTTTATATAGATGTCTTCTGTAAGCAAGAGTTGATGAGCAGCAGTACACGTACGAGTGTGGTTTCTCAATTACATGAGCTGAGAGAATCTTTTTACAGCTTCCATTATGCAGGGAATTAAATATCAAGAGGCTGAAGGTTATTGGTATCTCTGGTGGAGATACCAATCAACAAAAAACCTGAGGACATGATGCTCCTGGAGAGATAATCGTAAGAGAGCTCTTTCTGGAGGGAGCACAGCATGGACTACGTGCAGACCATTCTCATGGGGAATTTTAGATGTTATGCCTCTCAGACCTTTTAACATGGATGCAAAGATTCCATGTACTTTACTGGGATGGGAAGCTTTCAGGGTTTCTTGTTTCTAAAGAGCTGGAAGTAGGCTGTGTTTTTTAAAAAGGCTGAATGTCTTGTCAATGTTTGGCATCCAGTTGCAAACATGAGCACAATTCTTGTGTGTGTTACCTTTTCTAAATAGTTCTGCCAATGTCAGTCTGTGCAGATTGCTCTTTTGCAGTGATTAAGTTATCAAAAGGTACATGAGTGTGAAGTTAGGCTTTTGCATACACTGCATGTTGTCCGTATTTGTGTATTTTGCTGGAATCTGAAGTCTGAAAATCTAAATTATTTAAAGTGCAGTTTAATTCAAGTCATGAGAAGTTGACCCATTCTATGCTTACTGCAATACCAAACCTATGACCTGAGTAGATAGATAATATGATTGTATGGCTCTTCTGGAGCCTATGGGCAGCTGCTGCGGTACTGAGCTTCTCCATGGACCCAGTGGCAAAGTTAGGTCTGTCACTGAGCACAGAACTGCTGTCTGGGACCCCACACCAAGGTTGTTACCTTGTGTACTTTGTCTCCACCATGTGAAGGCTTTTCCCTTCTTTTCTACCTCCTCCTCTTGCAGAAGGTCCCGTGACTTAGAGTTTGGGGTCCTCTGTGAGGCAGAAGGCTGAGCCCCCTGGGCTGCACGTCTCTGTCCCGAAGGAAGCAACTGAGCCTGGGGGCTGGCTTTGGTTTCTCTTTAGGTATTCTGTAGAAAACACCAATAAGCAGAATGCGTTGACTTGGAGGAAGTTTTTCAGCCAGAGGGTGGTGAGGCACTGGAACAGGTTGCCCAAGGAGGCTGTGGATGCCCCATCCCTGCAGGCATTCAAGGCCAGGCTGGATGTGGCTCTGGGCAGCCTGGGCTGCTGGTTGGCCACCCTGCACATAGCAGGGGGTTGGAACTGGATGAGCATTGTGGGCCTTTGCAACCCAGGCCATTCTGACACAGCCCTGCTTTCTCCCCTGCAGACCCCCCTGCTGTGGAGCCAACCTTCCTGGAGATCCGGCAGGGCCAAGGCCGGAGCATCACCATGAGCTGCCGGGTGCTGCGGGCCTACCCGACGCGGGTGCTGACCTACGAGTGGCGGCTGGGCAGCAAGCTGCTGCGCACAGGCCAGTTCGACCTGCAGGACTCCACCGAGTACACCGTCAGCAGCCTCTCCCGTGACAGCTATGGTGTCTACAACTGCAACATCATCAATGAAGCAGGAGCCGGCCGCTGCAGCTTCCTCGTCACAGGTAGGCCTGGAGGCATCTCAGTGCGCAGGGACGCGATGGATGCTGCAGCTTTGGGTGTCGTTGGGTGATGCTACTGCTGCCAAGTGTTGGCCAAGATTTGTCTTTCAAAGCAGGCTTATGGCTTAAAGCATAAAGGTTTGGGCTGTGGGGAGGCTGGTGACAAAACAGGAGATTCAGCTTCTTTCAGTGGCTTAAGGATAAAGTTTTTTACATGCAAAATTCAAATGTCCGTCCTCCACAGACAGCTGTCCATATGCTTTTGAAAGAGTCATTGAGAAAGCCATCAGGTAGCAAATTTCTTCCTTTTGAAGTTTGCGATAAGGCTTGTATTTCCTTTTCTATATTGGTACACTCAGCAAGCTCGGAAACCAGGACAGGGAGACTGCTGTCTCAAGCAACTCCCAGCAGCCTACATACAGAGTGGAAATGTGTTCCTTTTCTCCAGAGGCAAAAGGTATTAAGGTCACCTAATACACAAGATCACAGACTCAGGGCAGATGTGCAACCCCTGCCATGATTTTACTATGCCCTGGATTTAGACATATTTTATATGTCATTTATCTTCAGCATCCCCTATTGGATCTAAATAGGGATTTTAAAGACACAAGTCTTGGTTCTTCTTCTGTAGGATGTTAGCTGCTATGAGTTGCCGATTCAGCTGCCTGATCCTGCAAGCTCCCCTGCATGCTGCAGACACTGTGCCCAGGCTGAGGGGCAGACTGTCACGTCAGTTTTAGGTTCCCCGTCCCTCTGTGCTTGCTCAGACTTTGTCTAGCATCTCAGGAGGAAATGAAGCATCTCTGTGAAGTGACCCAACTCTTCCCAAGGTCTGAGGTGGACCAGAGACTCCTTGTTCATTGCCAGGCAGTGCTCTGTGTGGGCCCTCTCTGGTGGTCAGAATGGACAGCCCTGGACTCAGTAGGGGTGCCAGAGCACTGGTCTTATTGCAGCTTAAAATCCTCCCTGTTAGCTTCTTGGAAGGAGCAGTGGGAAAAGAAACCGGTAAAGAATGACTTCAGAACATGCGACATAGAGCTCTCCTAGAAGAACTGATATCCATCTCAGTTAGGATTTTATTCATGTTTACTGACCTTGTTCCAGCTACAACCAGATCAAAGCACAGCTCCAAGCCTTGGAGCTGGAGCTCCAAGGGGTTGTTATTATCAGTTTCGCTGCTAGCAGCAGAGAGAGCGTGAGTTTAACCAATGTCCCACAGAGCTGTTCAGCTCCCTGGCCCTGCAGAGTTTCTCCAAATGCTCTCTGGGACTTGCACTGCTCATGTCGTGGATGTCAGTGTAGAACCTCTGTATGCATCCATCATTTTTTGATTCAGCTCCCCGGTATTTTTTTAAAAACCATATTGGTTTTATTGGAAAAAAAATACTTAGGAGCCTGATGGATCCTTTCTTTCTCCTTTGGATGTAGTTGGTTGGCATCATGTTGGCAGGGATTCCACTGGGGCCAGCAGCGTGCAGCACAACCATGGTGGGAATGCAGCGAGTTCCCAATGATTGATGGCTCTACTTCTTCCTAAATGTAATGAAGCCTTTGGCTGAATTATCATTCAGAGTCTGCACAGAGCTGCTTTCACAGCTGCTGACTTCACCAGCTCTTTGGAGTTTTATCCAGAAGGTGACTAAAGAAAACCAGAGAAAAAGTCTTTTTCCTCAAATGCGTAAATGCAGTTCAATTTACTCTTCATCACTCTTTGGACCCAAAACTGTAGAAACCTATTCTGAGGCAATTATTTTGCCAAGATTGGGGCAATCTGAGTGGCTTTCTGTGATTTATTACCATGCCAAAGCAAGGCACATAACTGAAAATTAGTACTAAAATGGTTTTATGATGCACTCTGTCTCGCATCCCTCTGTGCGCCGTGCTCATTTTTAGTCCATACCATTATGCGAATTTATGCTGTATGGCTGCATTAAAGATGCTGAGAGTAACCCTTCAGGTTATGACTTCCGTGTTTTCCTCAGTCCTTTAAGGTTAAAACCCACGTGCTCATATTTAGTAAATTTATTTGCTGACACGTGGAGTTGAAACTGCTCCTAGAAAACAGCAGCAAATGTATTCTGCTCCCAAGTCCCATGAGGACAGATGAAATTAAAGCACTGGGAAGTGTAGAAGCACTGGAGCGAGTGTAGAAGAAAAATGATGAAATGGTAAAAGGGAAGCTGTGATTACAGGAAAAAAAATAGCTCACTTCCTTGACACACACACATTGAAAAAAAGCAACAAATAAATAACCCATGGCAGGAGCCTGGCAGTAGCAGAGTGCTTTGGGTGCGACCATGGGAGTTGTCATAGCCCATTTTCAGTTGGTTTTATTTCCAGGGTTTCATGTTGGAGCAGAATGTTGCAATGCTTATATTGCAAGGGCTGCAGAGAGACATTGGTATGCTAAGAGAAGGCTTTTCAGTACAGAACTGAAAACGCCTGCGTGAAAAGATTTATGCTGGCCCTAGAATTTGCAAAACCCATTTTTATTGCACTTGGGTTCTGTGCCAAATTTGAGAAGGTGCGAGTGAAATAAATCACATGTGGAAAAGAGGCTTGATTTATATCAGACGGGCCAACCTGAGGCAGATTTAACCTGCTACTGTCTTAAAAATAAATGAGAACGTACAGGCAAAATTGTGGGAAAGCAAGGATGAGTTCACACTGCTCCCAGCTTCACAATCTATGTATTTTATTCAGTGGTTGATGGTGCACATAATGCCCAAAGAGAGACAGAAAGAACATTTCAGACAGTGGTGATTAAAACCCTGCCAAGAGTGGAAGCAAACTGAAAAGAAAAGAAAAGAAAAGAAAAAAAAAAAAAAAGGCTCAGATGCAGAAAATGTGATGAATGGCAGTGTCTATTCATAGGGCTTCATGTGTGTGGAGGAGGGACTGGATACAGGGCAGAGGCAGTGCATGCTGAGCATCACGCTGCAGACACAGAA